GCTTCTAAGCATGATAATCAGGTTACGAAGCCATTTGTCCTAACCTTTCCGTCAAGGGTCATTAACGTTTAACCCTCCAAGGAAATGCAAGACTGGGGTTGCGTAATCAGACATGTCTGGTTTGGTTGAAGAGCTTAATCTAACATTTTGGGCTAATGTGAGTGAAATTTATAACCATCACGGAGCAGACAAATTAAGTCGCCTTTTTTTTGAAGGTGTCTCAACACCCTTTCTCTCTTTCAATCTATCAATTAAGCATAAGTAATTCCTTCTCAGGAGATTCATCGAAACCAAGTTTCTCTTCGTATCTATAAGGTTGAAGTAGCCAACTAAATCAGGGAAGGCATAATTAAGACCGCGATGTTGGGTGTATAAAAAAGCAACTAGTGTTGCCACCTTCTCTTCGTTTAGTAAATTTGTGCTCTATTTAGTAAAGTATGGAATCTTGTTCTGATGATGTCTTTCACGATCGTACTGACCTAGGCTTAGCACAGTTTCACCGGGGTCGCAGGACTCTGAGCCGAGGACTTTTTCGCAAAATTCAACAGTCTTCCTTAAGCGGCAATCCTCCTTCGGTTTCCGGTTCGTCCATATTACGAATTCCTTCCAACCAACCTTCCCTTCTAAATGGAGAATCATACCACAATACACTTTGTATTACAAATAGAAACAGAGAAGACGCGACGGAGACTAGAGCTATTTGGCTGACATTAGGCATGTTTTACCATAGACGTGGTCCACGTAGCAAGGGCTTGACCATGAGTCTTACTTAGAGGCTTTAGTCTCATATTAGCCACCCAGACGCAGGGGATAGGTGATAATGCCTCGAGTCGCACAGATGGTGTGGCAGGGGTCGAGTGAAATACTAGAACCAGGGATATAGCAGACGGATTTTACAGGGCAAGAGAGAGACTGTGAGAAGACCTTGGAAAGGATGACTGCGTAACAATATGGCAGACTCTGATCAACATTCCAGCACAGGGATGAAGGGTTAAGAACGACAGTGTGGAGTGAGAAGTTGGTTGACCTCGTTGTCGCAACTTGGTCTTTTTGTCAGGGCGACTTAGTAGAACGCACCTAGTCCGCAATTGTCTGTCATAGTAGTTGTCATTATTCCCAGCATCAGACAGTGGACTTGGTACCTTCTCAAACCCACTTCTATAAATGTTCGTTTGTTTATGCTAGGAAACAGAAGGGACCATACTGATGATTCATCAGCAAGTATGTGGGTTAAGCATGAAGTACCCAACAAAATAAGAAATGGGCCTTTAAGAATGCATAATTAGGCATAAATTTTTTTACAATCAGCCACCTTTTTTTCATGTTTTTTTATAGTGAAGATGTCTGCGAAAAGAGAGAAGAAAGGTCAACATAAATGGATCAGGTTAGCAAAAAAATGAGTAGAAGAATTGTTCGGACAATTCATCACTCTTCTTCCTAAGGTGATCCTCCTTCTCCATCGGGTGATGATAATTCATGAATTCCCTCCAACCAACGTTTACTTTGAAATGAAGGATAGAGTTCGATTCTTAGGTATAGTTCACGAGGAGACAATTTCGGATTCCCTTCAATCTGCAGCCATTTTTTATTAATTTGATTTTAAGATTGAATCAACTCACGAGCCATCCTCCTTCATTTATAGTAAAAGAGGAACCAGCTTTCTGCATTCTTGAAATCTGGGCAAAAGGCAATATTATTCATACTAAAGAAGATGTCTCAGTCCACTCTCACAGAAACCTTAAAATAGTGTCCTATTGCTCTGTCGACTCGAACGTCTAATTCAAAATGAACTACTCTAAGTTTAGAAGTGGGTTGACCTCGTTATCACAACTTGGACTTGTTGTCAGGGCGACTTAATAGAACGCACCTAGTACAAAGTCCTCTGACATATTAGTTATCATAGCTCCCAGTATCAGACAGTGGAGTTGGTACATTTTCAAACGTTTTGCCAGCATCGTAGTCGGCATCATCAGCGAGTGCTACCATTCTCCGCGCCAAGCTTCGAACTTTTCAATAAGACAAGTGAAGTCAATCCCTCGACAAACGTTCTGCCCAAAACGGTTACACTATCGCTCCTCTTTCTGTTCTGGCCTATCTATCTACTCTTTACCATCTAATCTCACTGCCGCCCTATTACAACTTCTCACTTGTCTACATTCCATTCGTCAAAATGTATGCCCTTTTCTGGCCTCATCACACTTGCTATTCAACACGACCCCCTCTCTTTCGATCAGCTTATCCAACTCGGGCCTCCTATCCGGATCTCCCTCATCGTCCGGTAGATCCGTTCCTTATCTTTCTGATTGACCGGTTTCACTCGGTTCCAGTCCCAGTGTGAATTACTTACCAGGCGCTATTTGACTAAGATATGCCTTGGCAACGGCTACCCAAGCGAAGTAATACAAAGAAACATACGGGCCGTTAAAATCCGATGGCAGAATGGGGACTATGAAAGAAAAGTAAGGACGATAAAGGATTCACAAAAGTAGATATGCCTGCCGTCCTGTGAACTAACTCAAAAACTACGGCCAATATTGAGGAAATGGAATATTCAGGTGGTTATGAAAGAGAAATCAACACTTTTTACAAGTCTATCGAAAGGGTAGACAAATTTGACTGTTCAGGAGTTTACTTTATACAATGCGGTGCGTGCAAACAGAAGTATATTGGCGAAGCAAGGAGGAAAATTAGCAAACCAATCAAGGAACATCAAAGGATCTGCAAGAATATGGATACTGAAAGATCAGAAATAACGAAACACATCACACAGGCTGGACACGAGATCAATTTGAAGGCAACAGAAAGGAGAGCCGCATACGATGACAACACAAGGAAGCGCAGGGTAGAAGGGGAGATACTAAAACTGTTTATCACACGTTTGGTCAAAGGATCGGCTCCACTTGTCTCTTTAACAAGTTGTTGTGTGGTGCTAAGAATGGCGAGACTTATTGACGATGCCGGCGAAGCGTCTGGGAATGTACCACGTCCACGCTCCGACTTTGGAAATTATCATGCATACATTGGTCTCCGAACTAGCTGTGTTCATCTTAGTCTTCCTACCAATATAACCTAGTTGCCAAAATATTATATGCAAAGAAAAGTTGGGTTTTGAGGAATCTCTTGTTTCAAAATTGTCGAGCTTACTTCCATTTTAAGTGAAAGTGTCGGATGAAGAGATTCGAAGGTCGGTTCCACCAGAAGACGATTGTGGATTCCTCTTGACCAGCTGTCGATTGGCTTTACTTGAAGATTCATGATAACTCTGTTTCCGAGGTAATCTCTTTCGATTCCGGTGAAAAAGTTCTAAGCTTTCGTCCGTCATATGACGGACATCATCAGAACGAGGTAACAACAAAATTCAAGCTAACGAGTCAAGTTTTCTTGACTTCCACTGTTTCTATCCTCTTTCTATGTATAATACCAAGCCTATTACTCCATATGCTCTAGTCTCTTGTGTGCTAATCCACAAATGTTGTGGTTCAACATTGAACCAAATCGAAACGAGCTGTACCACAACATTTGTGAGTTGGCACACAAGAGACTAGGGCATGGCAAATCATAGACTTGGTATTAGGGATAGAAACAAGATAGAGACGGCGGGGACCGGAGTTAGTTGGCTGACTGTAGGTCTGTTGTACCAGAGACGTGATACATTTGCAAATAACGCCTCGAGTAGGACAGGTGTGGTGGCAGGAGTCGAGTGAAATAGGTGAACAAGGGGTAGAACAGACGGATCTTACGAAGCAAGAGAGAGACTGGGATTAGACTAGGAAAGAAGACTGCATAATAATAAAGCAGACTCTGATCGACATTCCCTGCACTAGGTTGAAAGGGGGGAGAACAACAATTGAAGTGTGAAGGTTTCATGTCGCTCAAAGGGGCACACCACACTATGTCTAAAGACACATGGTAAAAATTGTAATAGTGAAGGCATGATAGGATGCTACCGGAAACGCGAATAACCCAAGGCAGAAGGGGAGATACCAAAATTGTTTAGCACACTTTTGGTCAAAGGATTGGCTTCACTTGTCTCTTTGACGAGTTGTTGAATGGTGCTAAGAATGGCAATTCTCACTGACGGTTCAACTTTGGAAATGATCGTGCAGACAATGGACTCCGGACTAGGTGCGTTCCTCTAAGTCTTCCT